AAAAACAGTTCACAAGATATAGTCAAATCCTTGTGTAACTAATGTAAGTAATGTGCTGTGACTGTCAAATAAGCTAGAGTATGTGTAGTAGAGGTGTATGTGTCTATGGGTGGATTATTTAGTAGTCTCCTCAATCTCAGTCTGTATCTACCAATATTATATTGTAGATGACACTTTGAAGTGATACTTGAGAGTGCTGGCTTCTTGGAGGTAGGTAGCTTTGCTTGCCATTATTGGAATAGAATGATTAGTCAAACATAAAGAACAACTTAAGTCCTGAGCATTTTGTGTAGGAATCTGAAGAGTTGTTTTTCTAGTAAGGAAACAGGTTTTTTTTTTTTTTTTTTTTTTTTGGTTTTTGTTTCGAGACAGGGTTTCTTCTCTGTAGTTTTGGTGCCTGTCCTGGAGCTCACTTTGTAGACCACGCTGGCCTTGAACTCATTCGCCTGGCTCTTCCCTAGTGCTGGGATTAAAGGTGTACGCCACCACTGCCTGGCTTTACTGTAGAATTTTTAAGGAAAGGTTTTTGTCTCAACATAGAGAAAACTTTGTAATTAAATGTTTTAAAATACACGGAACAGGCTTATAGTATATAGTGGCTTTGAGAAGAATTATGATAGTAATCACTTCTTGATTACAATTCAAATATGAGATTGCTAAGTTTGTGTGTGTGTGTATGTGTGTGTGTTTTGTCTTGTGTGTGAGTGAGACAGTATGCGCAGGTGGTTATTAGAGAGTGTTTTGAGTGAGTGTACAGGCTCATTAGAGAGAGATAGAGTGAGAGTAAATTCGTCTGTATGAATGCACAGGTGCTCATGTGCCACAGTGCTCATAGAGTGGTCAGAACACAACGTTAGGTGTTGGTTAGTCCTCTTCTACCTTGGGAACAGGGTATTTTTGCTGTTTGCTGCTATGTATGCCAGGCTAGCTGGTCAGTAATTTTCCAGGGATTCTCCTGTCTCTTGCCTCCCATCTCTAAGATGTGCTAGTATTACAGTGCTACTGTGTTGACTTTACATGGGTTCTGGGTATGGGAACTCATGGTGTGGGCCTTAGGCTTGGATGACAATCACTTTACCCCCTGAGCCATCTCTTCACACTTTAATTAGTGGTCAGAATTCCTCTTTATTTTATTCTTGGTCACCTCACTGACATTGGGCCAGAAAGCTGGATTTTTAAAACCTTTTTGAGAACCCATTTTGCTAAATATGGAATGCCTCACATTTTGTTCATCCTTCATACCATCATGCTGTGCTGAAAAACTCTTAACTGCTTGAGGGACATGTTTCAAAAGTTAGGGCCTACCATATTAAATTAGAACTTCTCATAAAAATCAGGTTGTTTGTACTCTTTCCCTTTGACTCAGGGTTGTTCAGCAGGAAATGAGGTAGGTATTCTCTGTCTCCTCCCCTCCCTTCTTTCCTTTGTAATCTGTCCACATATATAGTCCATGCTGGTCTCTGGCCTCAGCCTTCCAAGGGTTAGGATTACAGGTGTGCATCACTGCACTTAGCTTTTTGTTTATTCAAATATGGGTGAAAAGGTTACAATTTTATTTATTTTATTTAAATCACTCTAAACTTAACCTTTCATTTTACCCTGTGTTGATCCAGGCATATGATGATGGTTTAGAAGGGAGGACATGGTTTTTCTGTAGATAATAATTAGTAGAAATATTCATTACTTAGAAGTAGTGCTGTAATGTTTGTGACTGAAGAAGTTTTTGCTACTTTACAGATAGGTGGGTTCCCTTAAAGTTTTTTTCTTTTTCTTTTGGAGACATAACCATAGCCTTGGCTGTCCTGGAACTCATTTTGTAGATCAGGCTGACTTACAACTCACAGAGATCTACCTGCTCTGCTTCTTGAGTGCTGGAATTAGACATGTGCCACTATGCCCAGTACTTAGAATTTCTGATTACTGTTGCCTTTAAGGAATTTTTTTCTTCTTCCTTTTCCTAGTGTGCCCCCCCCCCAGGACTTTGTTTGCTTTCAATAATAATTGTTGGTATAACCAAGAAACTTTTGCCAAGATATTTTTAAAGTTAGTTCTTTTTTCTCTTTGTTTGCTTTGCTCTTGATACAGGGTCTCACTATGTAGACCACGCTGGCCTCAAAACTAAATCGAGTTCACCTGCCTTGCCTCTGGAGTGCTGGAAGTAAAGGCATGTCATCACATTTGGCCTAAGTATTTTAAGTAAATACCTTCTTTTGTTTAGACCATTTAAATGGAGAGAGAACATATGAATGAGAATATGAATCAAGAGTTTCTGTTAACCTTACTGTAACTTGTATTTGTCTATATTTAAAGTTTGTAATTTCCATTTTATTCCTGATATTTTGTTTGATCAATTCTTAAATGTTAAACAGACTACATGACCAAATTGAAAGCATTTGTTAATATTACTAAGGCTGGCTATTTAATGCTAAATTATGTGAAGGTTGGGTAGGAGGCTACATGGTAAAATATAATTTAGATTAAATATTTGGAAAATAAGATGTTGTAATCTACTTCTTACTCATAGTCTCCTGCAATAATAGATTCAACTACTGTGTCATTCTTTTCAGAAAACATTTTTTTTTCCTTTTTTCTTTTTTTAAGTTTATAGGAGGCTTTTGTACGGAAGTGAGTTCTGGGACAGCCAGAGTTGCACAGAAACCCTGTCTTGGGGAAACAAACAAAACAAAACAAAACAAAAATGAGAGGTTTTTTTTGTCTAAAAGATAAGATGTAAATAAAAGTGTCAATGTTATATGAAAAATAAAATACATGACAAGATTTGTCAGCCTCTTGTTAACTGATAAATTTGGGTGTACTATGTTAGAATAGAATGTATGACCTCCTATCCATCATATACCAGGAGTGATATTCCTGCCTCCCAATTGTCCCCTTCATTATGTGGCAACCAATAACATCAGATGTCTCCTGGGGACCAGAATTACTCCTAGTGAGTACTATAGGGGGATGTCATCATGACAGAGTGCTTTTGTTGACCACTTGTGGATCAAGAGTGTTTGTATGAGCTCGGTTTATTGGATGAGCTTAGCTGGTGAAAGTTTCAGGGAAACTTTTTCCCCTCCTTTCTCTACGTAGATCTGGCTGTCCTGGAAGCATGCATCACTACCGCCTGGCAAAATTTTTTGAGGCTCAGAGGTCCAAAAATTATGTATCTTAGAAACATGTATGTATATAAGTATTGTGGAGAGAAATGAAAATAAGCCAGGAGTTTTGGGATATATTTGATGTATCTCAGTGGCATGGTAATCTGAGACTTCCTTTTTTCTTTTTTCTTTTTTTTAAATTTCAACACCATAGTTTTTATGTGTTTATGGGTGTTTTTGCCTACTGTGTATCTGAACTATGTGTGTCTGCTATGTATGTTAACTGGCACCTGCAAAGTCCAGAAGAAGGTATGGGAGCCTCTGGAACTGGAGTTACAAATGGGTGTGAGGCATTGTGTGGGTTCTGAGAATCTAACCTGTGCCCTCTGGAAGAGTAACAATGCTTTGAACTACTGAGACATAACTCGACCTCAGATGAAAATAGGCAAAATTTGCAACTTTAAAATCATGTGTTTGGTATGGATATTGAGAATTAGATGTAAATCTTTAATTGGCTTGATCAAAAATGAAGCCATTAAACTGTTCTGAACTGTAGATAATGTATGTGAACTTGAATTATTATCTGGAGATGAACAAGGTGATGAGTCACCTCCCTGAATTATCTATGTCCTGTAATAGCAGATAATGCCTGTCTTGCAAGACTAGAACTCATCTTGGTTCTTACCATTTGTGACAAAGTAGATCTTGAAGTCAAGTATAGGTGGGATTGGTTCATCAAGAATTATTCCTGTCTTTATCATTGTTATTAACATACAAAATTGAGGTTTTTTTTTTTTTTTTTAATTTTAAGTTTGTGAACTACAATTCATAATTTTGGCCCAGCTATGATGGGGCAAGCCTTTAATCTCAGCACTCAGGAGGTAGAGACAGTTTGAGACCAGCATGGTCTACAGAGTGAGTTCCAGGATAGCCAGGGATACACAGACCCTGACCTGAAAGACGAAACAAAACTTTGTAAATAGTAAGATTGATACATTGTCACTTGATAAGATTACATTTTGAAGAGCTCTTCCATATCTCACCATTCTATAGGATATGGTTACTTGAATATTACATTTACTTTTTTACTAGTAGTTTCATAGTTGGTAATCTACCTTTTTTTTTTTTTTTAAAGAAAAAACAACTAGTCTTTTTCCTTTGATTTTTATTGTATATTTGGCGAAAATCAAATGGAGGGGAAAGAATAAGGCTAAATATAGAAAAAAAAGATCTCATCTTTAGACTTGAAGATTTTTTTTATTATATTTTTATATTTATTGAAACTTGTTACAAGAGGATGTGGGAATGAGAAAATGTATTTATATATGTTACGGTTACTTTGGAGGCAGGAAACTTGATCATCTTGACTGAGATTTCCATGGTTTTTGAACACCTGGATGGAAGAATGATTTTAGAGATTAAGATATTGTCACTTAATTTCAAGGTTTTTTTCACTTAAAGAATTCAGAAACAAATTGACATTAAAATCATGAGCCTTTTTTTTTTTTTGTGTGTATGTGTGTGAAATCTTAGATTGCCATTCTTTCTAAAATGGGAATTATGCTAAAATTTTTATACTATTGGGTATTAATTGAAAAAAGAAACTTTATTATGGCATTTCCTTATATTCATATAATGTAATTTAATCATATCCAGTCCTGTTTTTTTTTTTTAACCCCACCTTACGTCTTTTTCTCTTTCACATCCCTAATAATTCACCTTTTTTATATGCTTCCCCCCATAAGAGAAAGGAAGCTTTTTTTAAAAACTGAAAACACTTGATACAAAGCACTAAAGTTTTCGCAAACAAATAGTTTTACCTTTGCATAGGATTGAGAATCTTTATAATGAATATATAACAATAATTTTAAAATGTTGTATACCTTTTTCCTCTTTCAGTATAATAATCATGAAATTCGTTCCGGAAAGCACATTGGTGTCTGCATCTCAGTTGCCAACAATAGGCTTTTTGTGGGCTCTATTCCTAAGAGTAAAACCAAGGAACAGATTCTTGAAGAGTTTAGTAAAGTGACAGGTAAGTTGGATTTAATTGGCAGGAGGTACAACTTTATCAGTAATGAAGAGAAAATATTTGGATGCCAAGTGTTCTAAACAGTACAAATTCTGTATTTGTTCAGTAAGAATTTTTACTTAAGCTTTATGAGTTAGGTAACCTTGTTAATAAGATAAGCCAGATGGTGATGATGCCAGCACTCAGGAGGCAGAGGCAGGTGATCTCTTGAGTTCTAGGACAGCCAGGGATACAAAGAAAAATTGTGTGTCTGTGTCTCTGTCTTGTGTCTGTGGTGGAGGAGTAAGCAAACATTGAGTTGGAGAGATAGATGACTTGCTAGTTAAGAGCATTGGCTGTTCTTTCAGAGGCCCAGAGTTAGATTCCCAGCAAACACTTGGTGGTTCTGAAACATCAGTTTTAGGTTAACTGATACCCTCTTCTGGCCTCTGGGCACCAAATACAGAAATACAAGCAAAGGCATCCATACACATAAATAAATTTAAAGAAAACAAGTAAGTATACATAGAGGTTTAGGGATAATTTCCTGGCAGTTAAGCTAATTTAGGAATAGATAGGGCCGGGGATAGAGTTTACCTAGCATTCACAAAGCCTTAGCTTTGATTTCCATAACTACATAAAGCCTGGTGTTGGTGGTACAAACACACCTGTCATTTCAGTGCTTGGTAGGAGGAGAGAGGAAGTTCCACATAGTGAATTTGAGGCCAGTTTGTGCACCACGAGACCTTGCCTTAAAAACAGTAAGACAAAACTAAACATGGGAACACAGCGGCAATTTGAGTTCAGTCTGTGACATTGTACATCCCTTCTTTGTATTTATTTCCATACTTAAGCTGTTAGTTTTTTGTTTTTTATTTATTTTTATTTATATTTTGGTTTTTTGAGACAGGGTTTCTCTGTGTAGTTTTTGAGCCTTTCTTGGAACTCACTCTGTAGATCCACCTGGCTCTGCCTCCTGAGTGCTGGGATTAAAGGCATGCACCGCCACTGCCCAGCTAGCTGTTAGTTTTGAATTCTTACATATGAATGAGGCTTTCCCACCATGTTAAAGGAACAAATGGTTATAAGTAGATAGATTGTTAACATGGCATATTTTTTTTAATTGTTCATCTGCCTATAGTGTTCAGAAATTTATTGTTAATAGTCTTTATAAACAGAAAAGTGTTCAGCATTAGCAATATTTACTGTTTTCCTTTGAAGTAATACCATGTATATTTGAGAGCAGAAAAAGATGCCATTTAAATGAATTTTAGGCCTGGCAAAATAGTGATGCCTTATCTCAAATACATAAAAAGTAAGGGCTGTTGATGTAGTTCAGCCTAGGTAAAAGTTTTACCTAAGCTGAAGACCTGGGTTCATGTACACGTGACCACTCCCTCCTAAATAGAATTTTAATGCAGTGAATTAATCTAACCACGTTTGACAAGGTGATAACATTTTTATAAGTGATAAGAAGATTCTTTTTTTTTTTTTTATTTGCCTTTCATATATTTAGTGGAATCAAAATGGTCCTTGGGGCTAGTTAAATATTTTACTTTCATTGGGTTTTCTGGACTTAGAATACTAGGGCAGGGTTGATTTGGGAAATTATTGGGATCTTTTAGAGGTTTGTTTGTTTGCTTGTTTTTTTTTTTTTTTTTGTTTTTGTTTTTGTTTTTGTTTTAAAGACAGGATTTCTTTGTGTAACAGCCCTGGCTGTCCTGGCTCTCTCTCTGTAGTCCAGGCTAGACTTGAACTCACAGAGATCCACCTGCCTCTGCCTCCCGAGTGTGGGCATTAAAGGCCTGTCCCACCACCACCTGACTTTTGGTCCTTTTCAAAATAATTGTTCTTTGTAAAACGTGTCTAGCTTAGAAAATAAGATTATTTCTTATTTTTTTTAACTTAAATATTATCTTAGTAAAACAAAGCTTTGCTTTTACAAGTTTTTGCCAGTTAACTGACTTCTGGAATGTTTGCTTAATTTCAGAGGGTCTCACAGATGTCATTTTATATCACCAACCGGATGACAAGAAAAAAAACAGAGGCTTTTGCTTTCTTGAATATGAAGATCACAAAACAGCTGCCCAGGCAAGGCGTAGGTTAATGAGTGGTAAAGTCAAAGTCTGGGGAAATGTTGGAACTGTTGAATGGGCTGATCCCATAGAAGATCCTGATCCTGAAGTTATGGCAAAGGTAAATATAGTTAGGTAGAACAATTTTTATTGGGGATAATAGGAGGATGAGGGAAAACTTACCAAACTTAAGTTCATGCGTTGTTTTAAATGATGTTTTTGAAGGCAAAAAGTATAGTTTACTAAGCGATTAGAGTTATACACTAAGAAATGGGAGTGCATGGAAAGTGAAAAGAGAAATCTTTGTAGACACTTAGCACCTTGTTAATTTAAAAAAAAAAAAATTACTACGTATAGAGTTTTCTGCTGGCATATGTGCCTACATGCCAGAAGCGGGCACCAGATCTCTTTTTTGATGGTTGTGAGCCACCATATGGTTCCTGGGAATTGAACTCGGGACTGCTAGAAGAGCAGCCAGTGCTTTAACCTCTGAGCCATCTCTCCAGCCCTTGGGTCTACTAGTAAGCTTACCTTCTAAAGGTTCCACAACCTTTCCAAAACACCACAGCCTTTAGACCAGGCCTTTAATATATGGGTCTTTGAGGGAGAGTAGAGATTCAGATTACAATATGTTGTCACTATTATAGTATCCTAGAAATGGTATTACTGCTCTGAAAAATCCTGTGATTTGTCTGTTTACCCCTCAAACCTTGACAGCTCCTTGTCTCTACCATTTCAGTGTCACAATTAATGATGGAAACTTCTCAGAGTGGTGGTAACTTTCGGTTTCTTGAGACGGGGTTTCTTCTCTGTGTAGTTTTGGTGCCTGTCCTGGAACTTGCTCCATAGACCAGGCTGGCCTCGAACTCACAGAGATCCTCCTGGCTCTGCCTCCCGAGTGCTGGGATTAAAGGCGTTTGCCACCACTACTTGGCGGTGGTAACATTTTAAGTGCCCTCTTTTTGTGGCTTTATGACTCTATAGCAACCATCTACTCCTGGCTCTGTGATAGGGTTTCTCTCTGTAGTCTTGGCTGTCCTGAGACTCCTGTAGATTCTCCTGCCTCCTCCTGATTGGATGGAGTGCTATGATTAAAGGCATATACCACCAGTGCCTGGCTTGTATCTAAAAGTTTTGCTGTGTCCATTCATATTCTGAGGGATATCTTGATTCTTTCTAATTTGGGGGAGTTATAAGGCTGTTAGAAGCATCTGGATGCTTCTATATGTTTAGTTTTGTAAGGGCCTGTCTTGCATCTCTTCCTCTGTGAATGGAAATTTCTCTCCTTCTACATCCTCACAAATGTTTGTAATCCCAATATGTATGTAGTTTTGTTTGTTGGAATTTTTTTTTTTCCTTTTTTGTGCAAGACAGGATTTCTCTGTAACAGCTGGTTGTCCTGAACTTAATTTGTAGACTAGTCTGGCCTTGAACTCACAGAGATTTCCTGTATTTCTCTGCTTTCCTAGTTCTGGGATTAAAGGTGTGTAGTTTATACTTCAGCTAGCTGGCTTGTTTGCTAATAACTGATGAGCAGTTTTCATGGTAAAACTTGTTTTGGTAATTAGCTGTTATTTTTTTCCCCCCTTCACTTGACTAGCTGTTTCACGTTAGTATTATGCGAGAAGTTGGAAGTTATATATCTTATGTTCTACTAGTTGTAATTCAAGTTAGCTTTATATGATGGGGTGGGTAATTGCTTTCAGAAATTGAACTCTTTGGAAATATTTAGGGAATTTGCTTTTTTATTTCAGGTAAAAGTGCTGTTTGTACGCAACCTTGCCAATACTGTAACGGAAGAAATTTTAGAAAAGTCATTTAGTCAGTTTGGGAAACTGGAACGAGTGAAGAAGCTAAAAGATTATGCTTTCATTCATTTTGATGAACGAGATGGTGCTGTCAAGGTAAACAAGTGGTAGAAATTCAATAGGCATGTAAAGTAGACAAACGTTTTTAAGTTTTAAAATCAGCATGCTTTATAAATTGGAGACAGAGTTCAGGTTATGAAATTCACTCAAGCAAACCTTTATTGGTCTCACCCAATTTCTTAAGTAAAAATAGTGAAGAGGAAGATTGTTAAAGCTCAACCATGTTTATTAGCTTTCAGAGCTAATGTAAATATTTTGTAAGTTTTAAAGTAAAATTACTTTGAAAGCCCTTCTTGCATATTGATCATTGTCTTACTTTTTAAAGGCTATGGAAGAAATGAATGGTAAAGACTTGGAGGGAGAAAATATTGAAATTGTTTTTGCTAAGCCACCAGATCAGAAAAGGAAAGAAAGAAAAGCTCAGAGGCAAGCAGCAAAGAATCAAATGTGAGTAAAAAATGAATACTCTAAAGAAAAATTGTATGCATATAATTTTGGTATAATTTATGTTACTGAAACATCAAATCTACGAACTCCCTTTAAAAACAACTTGAATTGAGAACTTTGTATAACAAATGGCAAGGAGCTAATTGTTTACTAAGGTCTTTCTGTTGACCATATTTGTGATAATTCTTAGTAGCCTATATTTGAGTAAGGGAAAGTCAGCCTTTAATGTTACTGTATAATATTCTTCTGAAAGTACCTTGTATATTAGTAATTTTTATGACTTAATATTTTTGTAAAAGGATGAGTATTCCCCATCTCGATTTTTTTTCTTCCCTTTTCTTTTTCTTTTGAGGCCACGTCTTACTGTATAGCACTTACTAGCCTGGCTAGCCTTGAACTCAGAGAGCTCTACCTGCTTCTCCCTCAAGTGTTGGGATTAAATGTGTGTGCCACCAAGACTAGTTGGGAATTTCTTCTTGGAGAGGTATAGAATATTAAGTGTTTTATTAGGTTGTTACCTTCGCACCAAAGAGGGATACAAAGATTCATTTAAAAAAGATCTCCTCACTCAAAGATTTCATAGGTTGACGAATAGACTCTGTGAAATGAATATAGATAGTAAAATAAAATATTAAACAAGTTAGGGGTGCTGAAGAGATGGCTTAGCAGTCAAAGGTGTTCGCTGCAGTACTAGTGGGACAGAGTTGAATTCCTAACATCCACATCTGGTATCTCATAACATCTGGTATTTCCTATAACTCTAGCTGTAGATAATTCTGATGCCTCTCCTGGCACTTGTGTTCATGTACATTTGTGCCTATATACACATACACAAAAATAAAAAAGAAAATCTTAGAAATACATTTGTGTGATGAATTGTATTAATTGGAGACACTTTTATAGATAGAGGCTTTTCAAAGAGGTGCGTGTGTGTATTTTTTTCTTTTCGAGACAGGGTTTCTCTGTGTAGGTGTGTGTATTAAGGAAATAGAGGAGTCCCCAAGATTGTTCAGTGGGTAAAGAGGCCTGTTGACTTGAGTTCCATTTTCTTGAAACCAAATGAGAAACAGCCCATCCTAGTTGTCCTCATGCTTGTGCGTGCACACACGCAGTAAACAAAAACTTTTTTTTTTTAATAAAGAAGAAAGAAAAGTGGGAGGTGCTAGTGAGATGGCTCAGTGTTGTTAACCATCAAGTTTAGAGACTTGGTTCAATTTCTAGGACCCTTTGGTTAGCTTCTGGTTTTGTTATGTGCGCTGGGCCATGCACTCCCATGATGTACACAAAACCAAGTGTTTTTACTTTGTTGAGTCTAAGAACTGAAGATAGTACTTTACAAATTGTCAGGGAGAAACTCAGGTAATTGCTGTTTAACATAAAATCAGTATTTATTGAGACAGGGTTTCGCTGTGTAACAAACCTGGCTGTCCTTGAACTTGCTCTGTAGACTAGACTGGCCTTGAACTCACAGAGCCCTGCCTGCCTCTGCCACATGAGTGCTGGGATTAAAGGTGTGGGCCACTATGCCCCACTTAGTTAATAGTATTTTAGGACAATTTTCTGTGAGTTGCAAAAGAAAAGGTTTTTCTTATGTATACCTGTTATTTTTATAATCAAAAAAGTGACCACATTCTAGTTTACACAGTAAAATGTCCAGTTGGAGGATGGTAAGTTCTGGCCTTTAATCTCAAACGTCAACTAAGTAAGTTGTGGTCAGTTTGAATTTTTCAGATACCTTATGCAACAATTATCATTGTGATCCATATTTTGTTGAAGAACTAAAGAAGTGCACTGTATAGTTTTGATGGTGGGAGTATAAATGAAGAAAAGAATTTTCATAGTCTTAATACTCAAACTATTGAATATTCTGTACGAAATAAAAATAATGATTTTTTCATATTTCTTTTAGAAGGTAGAGATTATTAATATATAAATATCACAAATTATTGTAGGTTTAGATGAGAGAAGTTACATTTGTAACTTGATTAAAGCATTAACATGTATTTGAAAATCCACATTGCATCTGAATCTTTTACTCAGTTTGAGATGAGGAAATTCTTGAGGCACAGATGTCAACTTGCCTAAGACCAGTTAGTCACACAGTAATTAGTATAGAGATGGCATTGAACTAAGGCAATGTTTCTGGCCCCATAATTTCTATGCTTGGGGCTGGGAGATGGCTTGGTGGTTAAGAGCATTGGCTACTCTTAGAGAGGAGCCAGTTTCAATTCTCAGTACCCACATGGCAGCTCACAGCTGTCTGTAACTCCTGTTCCAGGGGATCTGATACTCTCATACTGACATACCTGCAAACAAAACACCAATGTACATAAAATAAAAACAATAAATTATAATTTCTATGTTTAACCACTTACACTATGGCTTCCCTGTCTCCTTTTTTTTTGAAGCTGAGGATCGAACCCAGGGCCGGGGCACTTGCTAGGCAAATGCTCTGCCACTGAGCTAAATCTCCAACCCTTAGCTTCTCTGTCTTTGTTAGTGACATTTTAGGTTTTCCATTTTTTTTCCATTGTAAGACATTTAATAACATCCCCAACCTTTTCTAGGTAGCAGCAGCACCCACTTATGTCCCTAGACATTACCAAATGTACCCAGTGGTAGGAGTTGGAACAGAACCATTATCCCTGGTGAGAATCATGACATAGATTAGCCGTTGGTCTTGTGTTCTTCCTTAAGTCAGAAATACTAATCATTATGCTAGATTAAAAATTATCTTGATGGTAGCACATACCTTTAATTCCCAGCATATGGGAGGCAGGTGGATCTCTGAGTTCAAGGCCAGCCTGGTTTACAGATTGAGTTCCAGGACAGGTAGTGGTACACGAAGAAACCTTATCGCGAAGTAAAAAATCAAAACAACAACAACAAAAAACCCCCCACATATTCTATTAAAAAAGTTCTGGAAACCTTTTGTACTAGAATTGTGTTTTTTTAGGTGTCCATTGTTGGGATAGGGAAAAGTTGTGCCTTTATGAATTGAGTGTAAAAAGGGAAATTATTTCTGGAATTGGTGAGGTAGCTAAGTAAGTAAGGTGCTAGCTGCCAAGTTTGACAACCCAAATTCTGTCCTAGGAATATATCCATATGGTGGAAGGAGAATCGGAACCTTCTCCTAAAAGTTGTTCTCTGACTTCTACCATGGACGTTATGCATACTCAGTTCCCCCATCTCCCAAAACAAATAAAGTAAATTATTTTACAGGGAAATTGTTTTTACATGTTTTTTTGGAATTATTGTGGCTCTCAGGTCAGTAATACATACATCTTAAGTTTTAAGTAATAATATTATTGAAAAAATATGCTAGTGTTAGAATGTACACTATGTGCATACAAGAGCCCATGAAGGCCAGAAAAGAGGGAGAGTGTTAGATTCCTGTAACCAGTGTTAGGAGCAGTTATCAGTTGCCATGTCTGCTGAGAACCCATCAAGGCCTTCTGAAAGAGCAACAAATACCCTTAACCTCTGACCCACATCTCCAGTCTCAACATAAGTTATTTTTGTGATTGCTTTTTATAATTCCTTTGAAGCTAAAATTTTATGCTTTCATTGTTAAGAGGCTTTTGTTTTTCTCATGGAATATCTGCTTCTCTTGTTTGGGTAAAATAGTAAGCAATAGTAGTGATTTTGGTTTATCAGCCTGTTGCTTTTGTTGCTGGAGGGCTTCTCTCCAGCTTCCACCAAGCCCCGCAGTCCCACAATCCACGTATAAAATAATCACCCAGACGTTTATATTACTCATAAACTGTATGGCCGTGGCAGGCTTCTTGCTAACTGTTCTTTTATCTTAAATTAACCCGTTTTTATAAATCTATACCTTGCCACGTGGCTGGTGGCTTACTGGCGTCTTTACATGCTGCTTGTCCTGGCGGTGGCTGCAGTGTCTCCCCCTCCTTCTTCCTGTTTCCCCAATTCTCCTCTCTCCTTGTCCCGCCTATACTTCCTGTCTGGTCACTGGCCATCAGTGTTTTATTTATATAGAACGATATCCACAGCATCAGCCAAACTTACTTGGAAGGGTATCATACCATTTTGAATGGGATCTTTACTATCAGTAGTAAGAATAACTGGTAGACTCAAAGTTGAGTATTTTATGTGTTTAATGTGTGCAATGAAAAATGTCAGACAAATGAGATTTTTTTTAAAATTTTCTTTTTAAGGATGCTTTTTTCTTACACATTGTTTGTTACTCTTGTTTGGTTTGTAATAATACTTTCATTCTATAGTGCTATAGCCATGGTGTTACTTGTTAGGGTTAAAGGAGCAAGCTTTCCTTTCTAAGTTTACTGAAGGTTCAAATGACTTAACAGGAAAATTGGGCCTGGAGAGGTTAAGAGCACTGGCTGTTCTTCCGGAGGTCCTGAGTTCAATTTCCAGTAACCACATGGTGGCTCACAAACATCTATAATGAGGTCTGTCATACTGGCAGAACACATTATATATAATAAGTCTTTACAAAAATTTACAATGTCTGCAGCTGGGTGATAGTGGTGCACACCTTTAATCCCAGCACTCGGGAGGTAGAGGCAGGCAGATCTCTGAGTTCTGAGGCTAGCCTGGTCTACAGAGCGAGGTCCAGGACAAGGCTCCAAAGCTACACAAAAGAAACTCTGTCCTGAAAAGAAAAAAACAAAACAAACACAAAAAAATTTACCATTTTGCTGAAGAAATTGGAAAAGTTTGGCCATTTAATTGACCTGACATTTCCATTTTATTTTTATAATAAATGGCCTTTGTGTATTAGAAATACAAAAGTAGAGGAGATGTAATTCAGAATGATGTTTGGAAGCCTAACCAGTTTGTAAAAATTCTGTTATCGGAATTCGTATCCTTGTAAAATCATAAAGGATAAATAAGGTTCATAACTAGAGATTTGTGATACATTGGGATGTCTACTTTTATCCTGGTCCTGATTATTACTACTAAGAACTTACATAGTGCAAATAATTCTGTATTAAAGTCTTAAAACAGACTTTGATTGCTACAAATGCCTGCATGTTAACTCACTAATTTGATTTATACTCTAATCTTTGTGTGTTTTTTTTTTAATAGGTATGATGATTACTACTATTATGGTCCACCTCATATGCCCCCCCCAACAAGAGGTCGAGGGCGTGGAGGTAGAGGTGGCTATGGATATCCTCCAG